TTGATGTACTAAAAAAATAAATAACTTATACTACAATCACATTATAATATTTTTAAATATTACAATTTAATTGATATAAAAGTCCTACCCTCACTTCCTTTCTCTCTTCAATTCCTCTCAAGTTAAATGTACAAGTTATCTAGGGGTAGTATTCTTCTAAATAGACAGTTTAGATTAGGTAATCTAGAGGAACAAATATGTGGTCGTATTGTGGCTCAAAAGAGGCCATGGTAGCCATAGATTAGCATATTTGATTTTTAACATAGCAAGTCATAAAGTAGTTTCTAGGACCGCTCCATATTGGCCATTTTCCCATTTTTGAAACCATCTTTTGGTTGGGTCAATTTGACAAACATTTGGTCCCTAGGCGTGGGAAGTCCCTCATGTTTTTCCAGTGTAATTATTTATGGACTTTTATGTAGGAATGCACCCACATTTCTGTGACAATCATCTAATTAGGGCACATCAAATAATTTATTTAATTAGTGCTCTTTTATTGACTTGCAGCCAAGTTCCATGCTTAGAAGTATTGAAAGTCATCAGGAATTCCTCTTTCTCACTTTGAGTAAAGTGAGTGCCACGCATTTACAATCTTATCTACCATGAGGTCAAAAAGGAAGATTTTGGAGATAACAATATTCGTTAATTTAAAATTTTTTTATGATAATGGTTGCACAATGAGAGGTAATCTTCTCTCATCCCTTATCTCATTCCATTAGCATCCTATTTGAGTTCATCTCAAGAAGATTATTATTGATTATTGAATTATTTAGATCTTTGGTCACTAACTTTTTGTTGATAATTAAATCCTACAATACTAAACAATTAATTTTTGATGTAATAAAAAAAAAAACTTATTCTACAATCACATTATAATATTTTTAAATATTACAATTTAATTGATATATAAGTCAAACCCTCGCTTCTGTTCTCTCTTCAATTCCTCTCAAATTAAATGTACAAGTTATTTAGAGGTAGTATTCTTTTAAATAGACCATTTAGACTAGATAATCTAGAGGGACAAATATGTGATGGTATTGTGGCTCGAAAGAGGCCGGTGGTAGCCATTGGTTAGCATATTTGACATGGCAGGCCATAAAGTAGTATCTGGACCGCTCTATATTGGCCATTTTCCCATTTCTTAAACCATGTTTTGGTTGGGTCAATTTGACAAACAGTGGGACAATAAGTTTCCAGATTGGAGCTAATGGCACATAAAATATATTTTTGGACTTAACAGTCTCATGACTAATGCCTAAAAAAGCATGTGTTGTGGTTGAAAGTTTGGTTTTTGTAATTTATATTGTATAAAATTATAAAACATCAGTTATTAAAAAAATTATTTCTTAATATCATAATTTTTTTAAATTTGATTATTAGTGTTTTACAAGAATAATTTAGATTAGTATTTTTCTCACCTCATTCTGCAATTTAAGCTTTTAAACAAAAAACAGATTATAATACTATGGTATGGGAGCCTTTAAGGCTGATGTGGACATTGTGTGGTATTAGTGCTGATGACCACAGGGATACCCATATCCACGCGTCGTGCAAATAAATCACACCACGTCGTCTTCAATTTATTAATTTTGAACTACCAACCGTACACTTGAAAGTGAAAAGGTTCAACCACCATTGAGATTTCAATGGTCACAAATTTCTTGATAGTGTAGTAGTATCTAAAAATTTAAGATTTAAATCTTAACAGTCTCGGTCTTCATTCTCCAATTGTAATGGATAAGAAACATATACCTTAATCATTTCGTTTATAATCAGCTGTTACTGTCAATGAAGAAGAAATTGCATTTGGAATTTAATTTTCATTAAATGCCTACTAAATTTGAAATAATGATACCGATGCTGTAAGCAACTGGGTTCTACCCCACCTAACGTCTTGAATTTATTAACTTACACAAGCCTTCCAGAAGTTCATGATGAAATTTTTTTGGTGTTCAACAACTCTCTACTGTCTTCCTATTGCTAACTTGAATATAAAGAATAAATTACAACTGTTTTGGTTCCTGTAGAGAAAAGATAAAAAAAAGACTCGAAAATTCTGATGTATCTACATTCCTGTGTTAGACAAGTAACATCAGAGTTAGCTGTTGGTGTGCTTTCTTCAATGCTACCTTTCATTTTCCTTCATTTATGCGGAAACATTCCTATTTCACATTGACTTTGAAGCCCATGCTCCAAGGAGATCAACACTCACATTCCTGTTTTCTGCCCACAGGAATCGTGGCAAGATGAATCATTCTGAAAACCTCACTTTGTTGATCTACTTACGCAATGATTCTTCACTTCTGGAGGCTTGATCGCCTAAGCTGCCATTGCCAGATGACAGAGAGGAGTTGCAGCAGGCTTCAGTCTTTCTAGCTGCACTTGATATGAAACTGTCCGCGCTGTAAGACGTGCTGGAGCTGGCAGCTGGATCGAGAAGGCTAGCATTCAAGAATGGAGGTTGGCTAGGAAAAGGGATTTCACAATCTCTATCAGTCAGCATCTGAACTACTTCTGCCATCGATGGTCTTAAAGCTACATAAGCCTGTGTGCAGAGCAATCCAATTTGAAGCACATTGGATGCCTCCTTTGCTGTTGAATCATCTCGTATTTGAGGATCAACTGCTTCAGCAAGAGTATTAGATTTGTACAGTCTCCAAGCCTGAGATCAGAATGGAAAAATTAATTCCCGTCACACTTACGAATTCAAGAGGAGGAAGATAAACAATGATTTGGATCTTACCGTCTGTAGAAGGGTACCAGAGTCCTTTGTGAAGGCAGAATTCCTTCTGCCACAGGCAATCTCGAGAATGAGTACTCCAAAACTATAAACATCTGCTTTCTCAGTAAGCTGCCCACGAACAAGATATTCTGGAGCCATGTACCCCCTAAATCAGTGGCATTTGCTATCAGTTGTGTTACTTAGGAACAATTAGCAGCATCTAATTCAGTTTAAGAATGTATCATTTTTTAATCACATAGAGAACATTATCATTCTAATTCTGTAAATGCCAATTCTTGTTCCATCAAATGATCCTATTTCAGCGGACAAGGCATCAGTCCAGTGGTTAAAGGACAACTGAGATTCTAAGATTCAAATCTCCCACCCCATAAATTGTTGACTAGTGACAAAAACAATCCAGTTTCGAGCAAATTGCAATCAAGCAGAGACTAAACTTCATTGAAACACCAAAGGTAAAAAAAAATTGTGGAACACAATCAGATAGGACTTACAGTGTGCCAGCGACTCCAGTGCTGAGATGAGTCCTATCAGGAGCCAGGCACCGAGCCAGTCCAAAATCAGCAATCTTTGGAGTGAGATCCTCATCGAGAAGAATATTGCTGCTTTTTATGTCCCTATGGATTATCCTTTCATGAGAACCTCCATGAAGGTATGCAAGACCCTGGGCTGTTCCCACAATGATATTAAACCTCTGCTGCCAACTTAAAGGCTTAGTTTTCTTGTCATCTACACGGGAGAAGCACAATCCATCACCATCCAAAATATTTTCAAACTTCCCAAACAGAAAATTAATGCAAAATCATGTACAGATTAAAAAAAAAAATTACCAAAAATGAAGTTATCCAGGCTCCTGTTTGGTACATACTCATAGACCAGGAGGCTCTCAGGGCCTTCAATGCTGCAACCCAGAAGCTGGACCAAATTCTTGTGCTGAATTCCACTAATCAAGTTTACCTCATTGAAGAACTCATCTACCCATTGCCTGGTATTGAAAATCAATCTTTTCACTGCTACTGATGTTCCATTTGGAAGAACCCCTCTGTACACAGAACCAGAACCTCCTTGGCCTATTTTCCTCGAAGGGCTGAAGTAATCTGTAGCCTTTTCGAGGGTTTCATACTTGAAACTCAAGCCTGATTTGTTGAAGCTTGTCGAAATTGGCCCGAGATTATTGCGTTCTTGGCAGGACCAAAGGAAACGAAAACGAACAGAGTAAGATACTTGAAATTCAGAAATCTATGTTAAGGAAATTGCCTCAGGAATTATACCTTTTTTCATCCTTGATAGTCTTGCATGGGCAGCATAAATTGCAGAGAAAAAGACCATGGAGATTGCAGTTGCTACTAAAACAATAGCTACGATCATCTTAATTCCAGTAAACCCTGAAAAAAATGAAAGATTTTGATCTCTGGAATCCTGAATTCTGAGAATTTAGTACAGAAAATGGGAGTCAATCGAATCAATTAAGAATCTGAATATTCAAAAAACAGAGTTTTCATTTTACCATGGCCCTGATGCCCTGTACCTCCACCGTTGCCGTAGAACTTTTCTGTCGAGTACCTTAGATAACACCCAGTATTCATCCCCCTCCCTTCCTTCTTCGGCGGGCAGCTTTTGACCTCGTTCGCCGCCTTCTCCAGGCACTCTCTGCAGCCCTCAGTGCTGAGACTTTCCCAACATTGGGCCAGCGCATAGACTCCCTCCGCCGCCACAACCCCGAACCTTCCTTTGCTCACTGCAATCGCAGTCACATTCCCTACTGCGTACCCAACATTCCGAACAAAACCCATCCGATCAAGACCCACCAGTGCAACGTCATCGGGACTGCAACTCACCTTATCGGAAGTTGAAGAGACAGATTCGTTGTAAAAGCTGTAGTTATCGTAACGTAAGAAGCAGCCGTCGAGGAAGATGCGGCCTGAGACGGAAGAGAGGCAGCGGGGGAGGCTGGTGCGAGAGATAGTGTAGCAGACGATACAGTCTATCTGTGAGAGGTCGTGGTGGCACTGGGCAAGCGCGTACAAGGGAAGCGCGGAGGAGGAGTTAAGATGGTAAGTGATAAAGTGGCTCGTGTTGATGAGTTGCGAAAGGCCCTGCATTTCCTCGGTAAAGAGCGGAGTTATGTTGACCTGCGATGGTGGGCCGGAAGTGCCGCAGAAGAGGCCAGACAGATTGATTCTGGGATCGGAAATCGAGCTATAAAGTTGGAAACAGAAGACAAAAATGAAAACCCATGTCCGCCATGGAAGCTTTTTGGTAGAGAAATGCATGGATTGCATGCTTAGATCTCTGTTCTTCCCTTGGATTGAACGTAAACAGGAGGAGAGGGCTGTGGAGTAACAGAAAGGAAAGAAGAGGAACAGAGTAGTTATGAAAAGAATTTAGGTTGGACTGCTATTCTGTCTGTAATGCTGGTGGGTTCCGTTTGTAATGTTAGTGGGTTGGTCCGTGGGGACCTGAATGCATTTATTCAGTCTACTCATACTTCTTCAAATTTCCGCTCTTCTCTTGTCATTTTCTAGGAAAATTGTTCCATCATCGTCGTCGTCATCATCGTCGTCATCGTCGTCGTTGTTATTATTATTATTAAAAAATTATTTTATAAAATAAATTATATACAATGTATTTTGTAAAATAATAATAATAATTATTATTATTAACATTTTTCGAAGGATACATCTTTAAATATGAGAGGGGGCAACAATTTTGTCTGCACTCTTTGCCAACCATCTAGACATGATTGATTTACGATTATATGTATTTTTTATTATTAATTTATATAATAAATTATTTATATTTAAAATTACCACTAAATGAATCAATTACATTATAAATGGTGAAGAAGAGTGCAAAAAATAGTGTTTATAGTGTTTTTTTTTTTTTCTTATTGGCTATAGTGTTTATTTTTTAAGCATTAAAATTTTAAATGCACTGGACATAATATAAAAGATTTGGAAAATTTTTTGTAAGGTTTAATTTAATAATACTAGTTTGTAGTTGCAATTATAAATTTTTTAATCTTTTATTATCTTAAGAATATATAAAATATATTTTATATATTTAATATTTATTTTAATAAACATTTTATATATCTTTAAAAAATAAAAATACATAAAAATCAAAAGGTAAAGTAGTCTGAAATGTTGTTAAACAAAGTTTAAGTATAATTGTGCCTTTAGGGTGTATTAATTTTTAATTATATATTTTTATAATTAATTTATATAAAAAAATAAAAATTAACTTTAAATTTGTTAATTACCTAATTAAAATTAAAGAATAGTGCTTATCTACTTTACTTGCTAAAAATTAAGAAAAATATTATTCAAAAATTAAGAAAAATATTATTCAAAAATTAAGAAAAATATTATTCAAAAATTAAGAAAAATATTATTCCAAAACTACGTTATTTTGATAAATACTTATTAAAAAAGATGAAAATATCATATTTTTAAAATATAAAATAAGGTGTTTTTTTGTCTTTTTTCTCTTAATTTTTTAGAATTAAAGCAGACAAACGCTAACCCCTTAAAATTATTCATATAGCACCAATATTAAAAATAATATTTACTCCTTTTTTAATAAAAATTTATTGTAAACAATACAATTAATACACTCTTAACCTTTATAATTAGAGCACAAATTAAAAAATTCGTACTTTTAAGCAAGGTTTTTAAAATCGGACCGGATCGACCAGTTGAACCGATCGAATCAGTACCCGGTAATGAAAACGGCTCGGTTCACATAAAAAAACCATTTAAGGTCAAAATTGGTCAAAAACCGTTTAAAATCGGTCAAAACCGTTCAAAACCAGTTAAACCGGTAAAACCAGTGGAACCGATGGAATCAATAAAACCGAAAAAACCACCGGTTCAATTTCTCATGCAATTTTCTTTTTATTTTTTCCAATTTCACCCTTACCATTCCTTTATTATACCGATTTTAACCCTTAATTTTAATGAAATTACAAAATTACCTATCCCTCTCATCAAATTTTCCTTGTTATTTGAACCGATCGGTTCATCAGTTAAACCAATTAAACCGGTCAAACCAAAAACCAAACCCAAAAACGGTTCAATAACCGGTTCGATTTTAAAAACCTTGCTTTTAAGTATAAAAGTTTGATCTATATATAAACATTGAATATTTTTTTAACACTTTTTTTTACATTAAATAAATGATTATGCAAGAGGAAATAATCTTTTTTTTTTTTTATTTTTCCAACATTTGACTTTAAATTTAAATTTTTTCGATTCTTATGAACATGCTATATAATTGCATCACACAAGATTTTTAATAAAATTATACTTAAATAGCACTTCAACATAAGTCAAGTCTAAGCAAAAAAAAAAGAATCTTTGAATAATGCAATAGGTGAGAATGAATTGACCTTTGGTTCACTGATTAAGTTTCTCTTTGTGTTGCCAAAAAAAAAAAAAGAGGGAAATTTCTTCTCTTATTTTTATTTTATTTTGCCAAGTTTTCTTTTTCCGTGTGCCGAGAAAAACCAGGAAAGTGAAATTGGTAGAAAATTCTAAGTTCTATAAGAAGAAATTGACACATTGTTTATCCAACAGAATTTTGGAAGAAAAAAACAGTAGCCAGCACAAGTTCATACCTCTGGGTCCCCTCGTCGACAACTTTGTTTCTAATCCACTAAAAAAAAACGTGTAAATAAATATATTAATTTTATATTTTATATTTAAAAATATTAATTATATTAATTTTTAAATAAAAATATTAATTTTTAAAATTTCTATTTAAAAATATTAATTTTTAATATTTTAATTATTTTTTTCACATTAATATTATTATTTAATTAATTTTTAAATAAAAAAATTTTAAATTAATAATTTTTAGATAAAAATAAAAATTAATATTTTTATTTAAAAATAAATAAAATTAATATTTTTTAAATTAAAAAAATACAAAATTAATATCTTATTTACATCATCTCTCTTCATTCACTTTTTGAAAGGTCTCCCAGGCCACTTTTTGAAAGGTCCATGAAAGGTCCAGCTGCCAAGATGTATATTTTAGACTTTTACATTTCTTTAATAAATGTGTTTTTGTGAGTGATGCACTTAAAGACAAAGTTTAAATATATAATTAATATAATTTTTAATAATAATTAATATTAAAAAATAAATATTAATTTTAATTTTAACATTAATTATTTTAATTAAATAATTAATAATTAAATAAAAATTAATTTTTACTTTTTATTTCCATCAATGTAAAAAAGGTGCCTCACACTATATCCTAAGAAAAACCCTTAATATATTATTATTAATTTTTAAAGAATTTTTCCATAAAGTATTGTTCAATTTAAAATTCTATCTTCAATTCAACAAAAGTATTTTCCTACAAAAAAATTTTTTTTATTTTTTATTTTTGTGTCAACCTAATTAATACAAAGTCAAAATTAAAATAATTTTTTTTATTTTTTGTCAATCTAATTAATGTAAAGTCAAAATTAAAATTCTATAAAAACTCTTAACTGATTGACGGACTGATGGAGTATTCCTTGAGGGTGGTAGACTAATTAGTCAAAAATTAAATAAGAACAAAACAACTTTTTCCCTTTAATTTGGTTTTGACTTTCAGGCTCACCGAAGTCAGGAACAATCATAATGTTTTCGACTTTTCGTATTTTAGTGGTCATATTTGTACTTCTTCCAGAATGAAGGGATGCAGCAAGGATATAAAAAAAAAGGGAATATTAATGGGACAAACCAAAATTGGAAAAAAAAAAGAATATTAATTAGGATTATTCACAATATCATGAGACCTAGTACATGAATCAGATGTATGCAAAGGTTGTGATGGATAAGAGGAAAATGAGAATGAGAATTCTATAGATTCATACAGGAAAGGAGGTTTTGTTGGGATAGGCAATTCCACATCCTTATGTTTTAGCATTTGGATTACACTAGTCATGCTTGGACGTAGGGATGGTGTTTCTTGGGTGCATAGCAGTCCTACTTGAATAACTCTTTTGATTTCTTCAACATCTTCAGATGTCAAGCATTCATCTATGAGTCTTGATGTTGTGTCTGAATGGAAATGCTTCCATGCCTGACAATGCAACGAGTGCATAAATGATTGTGCATGTCATATGCGCGAATTTAAGAAAGATAAAGAGGAAAATGTTGGGGATTTACATTAGTCACAAGGGTTTCGAAAGAATTATCTGACTCCAATTTAGTGTTGTTTATGCCACTGATGATTTCAAGCACCAGGACCCCAAAGCTATAAACATCTACTTTTTCTGTTAATCTTCCATTAGCAATGCACTCAGGAGCCATATACCCGCTAAAAGCCGATGAAACAGAGAGAGACAGAGTAAATAGATGAAAAAAAAAAACGTAATGCGGTGAGGAGGGATGGAAGATTATGCAATAAATACTTACAATGTGCCAGCAACATGGTTCATGACAGCGGAATTCTTGTCAAACCTTGCCAGGCCAAAGTCTGCAATTTTTGGTCTGTATTTCAAGTCTAGTAAGATGTTACTCGCCTTGATGTCTCGATGAATAATCCTTACTTGACAGCCTTTGTGAAGGTACTCCAAGCCTTCAGCTGTTCCGATGATTATGCCAAGCCGTTTTTTCCAATCTAGTTCTTTCTTTCTTTCTGGATCTTTCTTCCATGGGCATGGAAACAATCAGAACATTTTAGACTGTATACTAATATGGATGCATGATGAAGAATTAGAACATTATGGAAATTTCAATTTGCATCAAAGTTGTTCTTACCAAATAAGGCACTGGCAAGGCATTTGTTTGCAAGATACTCATAGACGAGGAAACTCTCTATTTTGGTGAAGCAGCAGCCAAGGAAGCGAGCCAAGTTCTTGTGTTGAGCTCTACTAATAACATTAATTTCATTGTGAATCTCCTCTGATCGACTCTTTCCTATTGCATATAGACGTTTTATGGCAATTTCTCTACCATCTGGTAAGGTACCCTGCAATATGATTCAGTCAGGATTCAGGAATCCAATAATGGAGATGACTGATCAACAACTATGAAGAAAAGGGAATTTGTAGATGGGGTTGGTTATGGTTTTAGCATAATGATGAAATTTCAAATGGATATACCTTAAATATTTTGCCAAATGCTCCAGAGCCAAGTTTGTTAGCTTCATTGAAGCAGTCAGTTGCTTTCTCAAGAGTTGAGTACTTGAACTGCAGGAACTCCATGCCCTGGTTGAGTTCTCCAAAATCCATTTCATCTCCTGTATGGCAAAGTACAAAAACACATGAAGAATTTATGAACTTTTGCTAGTACTTATTACCATTACTTGGATGTAAGAGAGATTAGGGAAATGAAACTTGGGAACTTTATTTCTTTTCAGAATTGAACAATACCTTTCAGATATTTGTCATCCCTTCGTCTGTAGGCTATTCTGCCCAAATAGAACCCGACTCCAATGGCCAGTGTGCAGATCAGAACAGCAGCAAGGATATATAAGATATACAAAATTATAGCATCTGCAAGAAGACAATGAAAAAGACCATATATACGTCCATTGTCTCAAAAAAAAAAAAAAGAAACTGAAACATGTCATCATAATTTTGAGTAGACATGATTTTAAAGGCCTTTTCCTGGTAAGGAAGCAGTCTGTTATATGCCTTCTCATTACACCTCAAAATGAAAATTCATGAGATCAAGTTAAAATAAAAGCTCAAATTGATAGAAGTTCTAGATAAAAGTAATTTCTCTAATACCAATACATATGCAAACGAGATAAAGGACCTGCTTCAATGGAAATGTCAAAAAACTAACCAAATACTTGTAGACCAGATAGATCAAAGCTAACCTCGAGTAGAATACTCATCAGGGTCATTGCCGAATACATAATTAGAGTAACGCAGAAAGCAACCAGTGTTGAGTACGCGCCCCTCTTCTGATGGCAGACAATGGAAGGCAGAATTAGCAGCATCTGCAAGGCATTCAGAACACATTTTCCTGTCCATTGTTTTCCAGCACTGGGCCATGCCACAAACTGTTGTATCCTGTTTCGTCTTATGATAGAATGCAAAGCCTCCATTGCTTGGTGCCTTGTTTACAATTTTTGTAATCACATCTCTGATAAGTTCCAGGAAGTTATCCGAGGTGTCAACATCGTTGCTACATCTCTACTGCCATTCAATCCCAAAGACAAAATTCAGTAATCAAGTTCAAATACTGAGATAGGTGGGGTGGATTTTGTGGAGGTAAGGGCTATCTACAATAGCTCTTCATCCATTGAAATTCAGTAACATTTAACAAAATACCATAAGCTTCATCCTGATGTAATAATAATTTCAACCATTTTCTAAGATGATTGTAACACCCTTTAAGAAAAAAATAATCAAAATTGAACAAACATAAGAAAATAGAATATCAAAAATTACTTCTTTCTCTAAAAAAAAAAAAAATAATTTAAGAGATAAAGCAGCGAATAAGAAATTCACCTTCATATCAACATCACTAATAATCTCTCCAAAGAAACTGTAATTGTCAGCCCTAATAAAACAACCATCAAGATAAACACGGCCGCCGGTTTTGGGGAAGCATCCGGGCAACAAAGTACTGATCCGCGAAAAGCATTGCGCGCAATCCTCATTATGGAGATCTTCCATACACTGCGAGAACACATAAATCCTGCCCGGAGGATCGCCGGCTTCCGCTGCGGCATACTTGTTCAGTTTCATCAGGCGGCGCATAAGATCCATGGTACCAGCATACTGGAGGAAATAGTCCTTCACCTCATGTATTTTGTGGTCGGTGCAGGACCTGGCGATGATGTCAGCCATGGGGTCTCCGTGGGACAGCGGAAGATAGAAAATGAAGACAAGGGTTATGAGGAAGGAAAGCGAAGCCGCCATGGGAGGAGATCGGAGGTGGGAAAGATGGAGAATTTTGAGTTTTGGTTGATTTGCATGGATTTTTGTTGTTATATTTAGAATTTGTTACGTAGATGTGGTTGTTGATGAAAATATAGATTTTGGATTGGCTTTGAGGTTTCTAGAAGAAGCGATGACCGGCTTTACGAGTGAAAGCAAATAAATATACGGAATCAGTACGTACTATACTTTTTAAACACAGTTTGATATTAAAAA